AAGCAACAAAATAACAAAACGCAACAACATGAACAAAATTTTAACACTCGCAAGCAAAAAGGACCAACAGATTCTCGACATCTGTTTAGTCCGTTAAGTTGATATGAAGCTGTTATGAATATTTACTGCGAACTCAAGCGCTTTTCATGAAGGCACTTTGCCAGTTTAGCTACACTTCTTCCTTTGGCAAGCAAAAACTAGTCCTTCCTATTCCTTTTTTGCTTTTTTTGCAGTACACTTTGTCACTGCAATGCTTTGATAATATCAATCCTACTGAGAACCTTCAATGCTCTATTGATCTCAAGTTCTTCGTTGTTTTAGATGAGCAACTTCCGAAAGCTTTTCGGAAAACTTAGAATCTCCATTCTCTTTACGAGATACTTTTTACCTAAAAACCGGTAAAACATTGCCGAAGAAGGAAGCTAACATTAGGTGTTCTTTCTCGCGTAACATTTACAATTAGCAGCTAAAATAAAAAATTAGTTCAAAACTCTGAAAAAAAACGACTTGAATGCGGCGGGAAAAAATAGTTGTGTATTGTGAGACAATCAGATCCACTGGCGGATGGCAAGAAGAAAATTGATGAAAGAGTGTTGGTCTTATGCGGAACTTGAAGACGTGCGTCGTTAATCCGTTTACGCTTCTTATTTATTTCCTTGCTGGATTCTACCAGCTTTTTTGGTTAGTATGAATTAAAGGTTTCAGCGTGAGTAGTGCGAACAAATAAATTCATAATCGAATGGAAAACGAATAATTGTAAGCATAGGTGAGCAACTAAGAAAAACGAACCTTGTCAGCTTCGTTTTGTGGCTCTGAAGTGCTCATCTTCTTAACATCGTGCATCAGCTTACACCTGACACACAAAAGTAGAGGCTACGTTGCTGGAGACTTAAGGGAAAAACACTTTTCCACAACCGAAAAATTAATGAGTAACTTTTCCCTTGACTATTTGTAGATGGCAACCACAAAAGGTATCTGAGATATGAACAGAACTCGGGACCCTGTGTGGGATTCCAACCCAAGGTTACCCTTGGCAGGGCTCAAGTTTTATTCAGGAGCTACTATCGCGAGCTACCCGATCAATCTCTGTAGATCATTTCGATTGACGGGTGATTTCTGATAGCACCGATAAAGTAAAAGCGACTGAGAGAAAGGTAAAGCAGGAGTCTGGGTTGGTGTCGTGGACAGCACACGAGCTCCGGTAAGCGTAAGCAGATTCGAAGCCCACACGGAATTCATAGGTTTTGCTTATGTCTCAGCTACCTTGTGGTTGTATTAATATCGTACCATGGCATGAAAAAAGGATGGGAAGTAAGAAAGAGCTAAGACATTATTTCTGGATTGTTCTACACTCGCCATACAGCCACATCCCCACTCTTTCCTAATATATTAAGTGAAATTTAAAAAAAAATAGACATGAAATAAAACAAACGACATAGGAGGTTGCTGTCGTAATGATACTTCATGAATTGAGCACGACCAACAGTTATTAAGAACATTTATCCGAGCATTCACGTTTGCGATCGCACAGTTATGATCTTCATCGTGTGAATCAAGAAGATTACACCACCGTCTCCATTTCCCTCCTTTGAATTCTCGCGGTACACAATGAGTCCCTCGTTGCTAGGGAAGCATGAAGATTGTCGCAGTTTTCCTGTTCTTCGTGACGAAGACGATATCCACTGTTTCCAGATTCTAGTGGTGGAGAGACGCAAGAAAAGTAATCCTATCGGTGGGTGTAGAACCAGATCGTCAATCCTCAGCATCATTGATTTACCACAGTTGGAGAAAATCAAGAACATTGAACATTCTGTTTAGTGAAGTTTGTTTTCCAATGGTGAGTCAAGTTGTTATGATTATCTGCACATTTCATGGAGACAACTGTACAGTCTCTAAGACAATCCTTAAGAAAACCACATCGATGACGGAGGTGAGGATTACCGCCTTCTTCGAGCTATCGAGTACAGTATGCTTTTTCCTGTTATTCTACGCTTAGGGCATTCATTATGCAATGTTCGCGAGTGAGATAAAGAAAGTTTGAGCATTCGACAACTTTTATTAGCAAGAAAATTTTGCCAACTTGAAATAAGAAAAACGACGTAGACAGCTGAAGAGTCGTCATTATGATGAAAGCTTACGGAATTTTCTGCCAATCGTATGGATCGTTCATTTTAACGCCAGCCGGATGGCAGCTCTCGAGCATCTTGGTCAGTTTCCCATAATCAGGCATTGTGTCATATTTCATCGCGAGAATGTGCTAAAGCAATCCTCTGATACATCTTGTAGTAACTCCCACGTCCGACTTTCTATTGCTGAGCAGAAGTGGAAAGAATTGTGCAAACCTCTGAGACAATACCGTGAGATATCAACAGCTATTTTTAGGTATTCTTTCCCATTCCGTTTTTTCTTAGGAGTTTATAGTTATCATCCTGCCAGGAAATTAGATTTATATTCCCATTATTAATACCAGTTCTTTCCCACTAATATTTTCATCACTTCAAAAACTTCCCAATCAATAACAAATTCGCCTTCGAGGAATAAAATGCTGGAGTATCCATAGAGTTTATGAATGAAAATCAACTAATATCGGACTCTAACTACTAACTATTTCATCGATGGTTCTAACAAAATGTGGAAGTTGAAAATCTACTGCAGTTCACAAATTTCTGCTATCGCTACAGTAGGCGAGGTGGCTGTACTATAAAAACGTGGATTTCAAGCTTTTGGAATCCATAATTTAGTTTCATACTCATTTAAACACTAAAAAAGACTATACCAAAACTGCGTCGTTCAAGTCCTGGGAGTCAGCAAAGCGAGCCCTCTGAACAAGTTTGGTGGCGAAGTGCGAATAATGTTTGATGGGACACGCTAAGTTTACCCGATGATTAACGGAAGTTACAGCTGATCGTTAAGAGATCAAGGTCAAACGTCCGCCGTTAGTTGGTCAATACCTGAGCGATGCGCTATGTGTTTGACTTCACCAATTATCGTTAGAGGTGATCGAATGCGTATTTGGCCTATACAACGAATTATGGTGAGCTACCGATTTGTGAATTTGTCAAGTCAACGCTTTTATTATCGCAGACAGGTATGGTGCTAAACTGCCCACCGCGGAGGGATAGATGGCCTGGTGATCTATACGGACGGGCTTAAAGAAGGATTGGTCCAGTACGCATGAGCGGCACTTCTAGCTACTGCGCGCCAAGACGGTGATACAGGTGAAAATACGCAACTTAAATTTTTTATATCAAATACTAATTTTATATTTCCTAAACTCCTAAATATTTTATGACAAAATTTTTCCACTGGAAACGTTGAATAGCACAAACGTTTAGAAGTTTAAGACCCTGTCAACTTTTGAAACAGCATGAACTATTTTTCCAATTCACGATAACATGGCTTAGAAATCATCATGAGAATTCCCATTTGACCATTTTTCGTTAGCAAAGGTTGTTCTGCTGTGCTAATGTTTCTAAGAATATGGTAAGCATATAGAGAACTTCCCTCTTGAAAAGTTCTCTATCTATCTAAATAATAGTATTTGAAGTCCAAATATGGCCGCCTCGCACTCGCACATCAAACACCGCAATGTAACCTTTTCTAATCTTCTCGATCAATTATGTTCAATGTTTCAGGCACAATAGCGATTCAGGTTTGACTTCAGTAGCATAGCGACGATGGCTTATCCGAAGGAGGCGTAACCATGGAACAGTTTACTACTTCCTTGCGAAACAACGAAGCTAATGACGTTTGATGTTTCAGGCAGTTAGGTACAGTCTATTGCAGTCCAGGATCAACAATCCAGATTAACCGCGGTTGCATACGCTTGCGGCTCCCGCAGCCGATATAAGCCAGGTGCCTTCAACGGCGGAGACATGCCATCACTCACCTTACCCCCGATCGGTAGCGCGGATAATCCGCTCCTCACAACCACATCCTCAGTCATCCTCAATCACCTCAACTCATTTTTAGTCATACTCATTCATTCTCCTTCAATCACATTCATTCACACTTTCACATTCATCCTTCAGTAATCAGCAGATTATTGTATCTCGTTTCTCAGCTTGTCTACGGTGGGATGTCAGTAGTGGCGGGTGTTTCCAAATGCGTTCTGTTTGCAACGCCATCGGTGGCATGTACCATTCCTCCCACAATGTACACGCAATGTGTACAATGCCGCTAAGCGACCAGCTTATGCTTTGTATTCTTCTAAGCCGCGATAGGCTTATCAGTTTTGTAGCCATTTATCATACTGGTCCTTACCCTTAAGCAATGGTGGCACCCATCGATGCTCAAAGTTCACGTTGCTGACATAGCGTTATTCACGACCAGCCGCCTGACTGTGTTCCGTAGATGACTCATCATTCACTGTCCATAGCACCGTCAACGCTCATGTAACTTACAGTCCTCATCGATCCACTGAAATGCACCTCATCGCTATAATGTTGAAATCCTAGTTTGGCCGAAACACGGCCAGTCTGTAACCCTCGCCACCTCAGCATACTGTCTCCATCTCCGCGGCATACACTCTCCTCCCTCCGCCCTCCAGAATACTGTCTCCCTCAGCCGCCCCGCCGGCCGCGAATAGACGCGGCGCAGCATCGCTTACGGCTAAGCAAAGGCTACTTCGTTGTGATCTCATTATTATTGTTAATATTGTGTTAATGGTATAATAATGTTTGAATGCCATTGCTTCATTGTTAGCCTCACTTCACTACAGGCCTCAGCACCTCAGAGCTCTAACTTGTGTCATTCCTCCACCATTACTTCTCTATCGTTACTATCATGTTATTAGTGTTGTATTTATGTATTAAAGGTTTAATTACCCAAGTTTGAGGTTGGTAGATCAACTTCAACTGCTAAAAGACCCGCGTGGTTAATATTCCACATCAATCTGAACCGCTACACTTCGCCGCTAACCATTTCGTTACAAAGCATGCTCTGACCAGCTTACTGCAAGAATTTTCCATGCAATCTTATTACCTTCATGAGTAATCACATCAGGATACACAGCCAACCTCAGCCATTTTGAGCATTTTCGGCTGCTTCTGACACAGTTTCTCAACGGTAGTTCCCATTTTACTGGCTTTGATCGCAGCCTCATCCCTCATTTTACTCCATGGAAGTCCGCCGTCGCCGAGTTCGATCTAAACTTTTGAGCCTTAAAAATTCGACGAAGCCGGGATTTGAAAGCGCAGACTAGATTCACTTGACGTTTCGTGGTTGCTCAGTGCTACGGTGCTTTCAGTACCATAGTGTGTTGTCGTTTTAGGTAGAGCTTGATGTCAAGAGACGAAGAACCGTGAGAAATTCTCAAACTAATCAACTTCGGGATGGAAGCTTTTGAAGACACTAGTAGATGTTTAGAAAATACTTCAGCAGTGAATGGGGCTTGGTCTGTGCAGTGATGAAGGCACTCTTCGCCTAACCACATGTATATTAGTAAGCTCGGACTTTCCATAACTTTAACTTCTTTATGAAAAGCGTTTCAGTGCGCTCAGTTAAGTTTCACTTTTTCTACCAGACGAACTAGAAGTGAAGTGACACCCACTGTCTCACAGGATCTCATTCATCGCGTTTATCACCCAACCAATGTAAACCAATCGGTAGTAATTTTCTCCATTCGAACTAATACCATTTTTTCAATTGACAATTTGATGGATAATGAAGTTATAAAAGCAGAGGATCAAACGGTGCAAAAGAGCGACAGCGGCTACGAAGTATACCCTATCAAAAAGCAACGTAAAAATGCGACTGGATGAAGGACTTTCCAAACGCTGGGTACTATAGAATATTCGATTACATTTACAAAAATTATGCTGCTCAAAAGCGATACAATAAAGCAATCCTGATCAGGTGAACAGCGTCTGAGCGACATGTCATATGTGAACTCGAACTCTGAGAGCTATGAGGCAATGAGCTATATTTGATATGCACTACTCGTCCAACCGATTCCGTTTTCCATATCTTCATGTGATCTGAAACACATCTGTGGTCTTTGGCCATTGAAGTAGGTCGTCACTTAAGATTCCTTCGTCACCTGCATGAATGGGAGATATCCCAAAACCATCCTTTCAATTGTGTGTTCATAGAGTCGATTAGTCTTGCGGTCTTCTTATATAGCGACCAGGTTCCCGACTGTGTTGAGGTACGAAGAATCGTAGAATCGCAGGTGTTTGCGGTGGGGAACGAACGCGCTATTACCCTTTCCGCGGGTTAACGCGCTCACCACCACACCATGCTGGTCCTTCGTTTCCCCTGTCTCTCAGCTAGTTCTATCAATCAATGCTATTAGTGGGCGAGCTATCTGAGAAACGGGAGAAACGAAGGACCCGCATAGTGTGGTGGTGAACGCCCCGGAAAAGGTAATAACGCGTTTGTTCCCCATCGCAACACCTGCGGCCCGAAGTTTTGCAAATATCTCAGCATCATAGAACTTATATTTCGCCATTAAATACCATATACCCTGCCATTAAAAAGAGTAGGCAGCAAATGAAAAGGTTAAAACCGTAGAATCGTGACAAGAAGCATACAGTCAGCTGTTTTTTGCCAACTTTATTGCAAAATCGATGCTCTCAAAACCTCCCCAAGTCTCTCACTTTTTCCTAGTCAGCTCTTGACACAGCTGAAGCAAACGCATATGTTTAATTCCTTGAACATGAATGGTGCATTAGAAACAAATCCGTTTCTTATGAACATCGTTTTCACAAGATATATGTGGAGACCAATTTTTCCACAGTTGGCTAGAAAAGGATTCTGTAACTTCTCGTAAGAACTTTTTTTTTGTCAAACAGTTCGAGTAATCCTCCCAACGGTTTACCGTCTCATCGTGGCTGAGAGGTGTACCTGGGTGTGGGACTGCGATGCACAGCGGGGAATTCATCCCCTGGCAGGGTCTCTCAAACTGAGGAGTCCGGTATTTGCATCAGGAAATCTAGCTATGAGTAAACCAATACCAGGATCCACCATCGTCCTGGTATCAAAGTCGCATGCTGGAAATCTCCCTTTGATCCACAAGGGCTGCGACTGCCTATGGTGGTGAAGACCTGGGGCAGGCTTTGACCAGGCTGACCTTGGGACTCCAGGGAACCACAATGGCTTAACCAGCAAATATCCAAAAAATGGAGATTTTGCTGGGGTCCGCACAACCAGTGAGGACGAGCTATTCATGTATTAAGTTCGAGGAATCAGCTATCACCTGGGTGTACTTTCCCTGCATCTGCCGTTCCAATGAACTTTAGGTATAAGCCTATGTCTCGTCCTCGGGTAAATTTCCATACTAGCAACTACATCATTTTCACATGTGCTTTCTGTATAAGCTATGATATAGCTTTCATGAACTTTCTGCGCGAGCACCTCTATCTGATTGCGCTAATTGAGAAACTTTCTAGAACTTCCCTTTGAGCATTACCTCTAGATTCTTCTGCCAAAACTCCGCCCATTACAGATGGAATTTAAGGACCATTATTAGTCATCTCGGTTAGTTCGCTCAACTAGCGCTCGTACAGTCTCCATCTTCGTTTTGGCCCTTGTATTCCGTGCCTTTTTGGATATTGTCAAATCGCCAATATTGCACTGATTTTATTAATACAAACTGTTATAACACAAGTTTGAGATTTTCCTCTGTGGCAACATCAAGAAGTTCCGAGTGGCAAATTCGTACAAAGGCGAGTATTCTGCCTTGGATAGTGATTATTTAGTGCCGAGGACCTACTTGAAGGCCTATATTCCACCGATTAACTAATACAAGTTGCTAACTACTCAGAATGGGCATACCATTCTTTCGTTAAGCAGAAAACGTCCTTATTGTTTGCCTGTGATGAAAACCGAGATTATTTTCCATATTCCTCGCTTTTCAGTAGTAGAAAATGAGTCATATTGGAAATATGTACAACCTACAATGGAGTAGAGTAAGGCGACGAGGTCGTGACTGGGTCCCAAGTCGTGTCTGGCGTGCGCCTCCAGGCTAACGTAACGCAACGTGCCTCGCATTCCAATGCTCTCCCTCGGCTTCCGCATCAATCCAGAGGAATCAATGTATTGCCGTGCCAATCCTGCAATGGAAAAATGTCCTGAACAAGCGCATTTCTGAATTTTCGTGGCTGATTACTTTTTAGCAAGTTGCTAAATATTCTTTAAATTAGTCTTTATTTTTATTGAAAGCCATAAGGAAGTTGACAAGTAACGCCCGCTGGAGATAATTCGACGAGAAGAAGGTAATTTCGCCTTCACTCAGAGTGCCTAAGAAGTTCAGAATTTCAAAGATTTACGGAAGAGACTTTAGTTTATGATCCCGAACATGTACATAATCGTTAAAACAATTTTTCGCTTCCAAGTTTCTGTTCCAATTAACAAACTTCACTTTGGAATTGGAAATGTTATTTATTGACGCACAGGTATTTGCATTTATATTTACATGTGACAGTGATACCATTCTTTACGCTGAAGACCCAATCTTCCAAGGCGTCAGTTCCATCCCACACCGGGCTCGCCGAATTTCTCATACCTCCAGGCTGGTGAAGTTAGTACCACAGTTATCTGCTAAATTATCAGTCGCTCTAGTCCACTCAGCAGCTATCTAGTACGACTCTTTCAGGATTCTAGAAAGAATAGACCTGACCAGCATTCAACGACATTCACGACAAAGACGAAAATCTTCAAGCAGTAGTCGGATCTAGAAGGAAAACTTCGAAGACCTTCAGGGATGTTGCATTCCAGAAAACGAATTGAATGCAAGCGTTGGCATCCGTACGATGACAGCCTTCGATGTCTGGCGTTGTTTACAAAATATTCGTTAGAACATGAAATCGGCTAGATTTTTTAAAGCAAATGCGTTGAAAACAATAGAACCTGAGTATTTTGTAAAACTAGATTGCTAGACAGTAACAGTAGTGGAAAGTCTACTCTAAAGAGAGAACCAAAACCTAATCATGGCTTTTTTGAGAATAAGGAAGCTAGCGAGCCAACTATTTGGTCGCTGCACTCTCCCCAAAAAGAGAAGAAAGCTTACTTGACCACTAGAAATAAAAACGTCAGTGTCTACGAAGGATCGCATGATTCTCAGCAAATTTTCACGTTATCGAGTAGATTTCTAGGTTAGCAAGTATCTAACAAAAAAAGAAACTCTTTCTACTAGGCTTCTTAGTGGGTGATATCTACTCTAATCACTGATTCACCCCTGTGTTAGCTATTGAAGATGTCGAATTCATCAGTATGGGTGCTGGGTTAAGAACCTCTTACTGGCTGTATACATCGAAGTTCGAAAACCAAGAATACCTCACAAAAATACACTTATCGAAAAGATGATTTAGCATCTTTTCATGAGTAAACAAGGAAAGAACCTCTTTCCTGGTGTGTAGCAGAGGAGTTTGAAACCTTGGGAATAATCCTTAGATAGTGCTGCATAGCAATATCACAGCAAATGAGAGTTACGCTACAAAATATTCAGCAGATGCAAATGCGGTTACTTCCTTTGAAGGTGAGGTGAAAATTACATGAAAACATATCATAACTGAGGGCGAGCATCGATGCGGCAATCAGAGACATTGCTACGCTCAGCACTATCGAAGCAATTTCGTCGTATCACGAAATAGTCTTAGACTTCCTCATTGGAAGTCACGTAAAAAGCGGTGAGTTTTTCGAGAAGTTGTTGATCACGTAATTACCAGAGAGTTTTTCGTCTTTTTGTAAGTGTTATTGAAGCGTTTGGCCTAGTAGATTGTATATCAGTATACCCTTCTAGGCTCTGAAGAAGGCGATACTGCCGAAACGTCAGCTAGCGTTGTATTGTATTGTGTTTCTCTACGGAAGTAAATGTATGCTGTTTAAAAACCTCGCAATTGCTGAACAAGAAAACGACGCATCCAATATTTTTATTAAAGTGAAGATAAAAAAGCAATGGCGCTCTCTTAATGATCATTGAAGGCTCTACCAAAACAATTCGCACCTACCGTAATCTAGTAGGTAAATTCTCGTGACGTGGTCCACACCAATGCAACAGTTGGATGGTTTCAGATCGCGATGAAGAAAACCGGCACCATGCACGAGAGACAGAGCGTGTGTGACCTCGACTGACGGATATTTTCGCTAGCACTACTTTTACCATAACTGCTGGTACTAGATTGATAGTCATAATAATAAGAATAACAACAATAGTAACAATAATACAATGGTAATGAGAAAAGAAAAAAAGCGAATTCCTCCACCAAAGCATCAATGCGTGGAAGAGTCAGCAATGAACTCTGCCCACAGGAAACTTCAGTATCAATTGCATTACTGATATGTACGGCATAATAGTGTTGCCCACCCAACGGTTTACCGCCTTGTCGTGACTGGGGACTGTTCCTGGGTGTTGGAATGCGATGTATAGCGGGGGATTCATCCCTAAGCAGGGTATCCCAAGCCGAGAAGGAGTCCGGCGTTTAAATCAGGAAGCCTAGCTAAGAGTAAACCAGTACCAGTATCCTGGTATCAAAGTCGCATAGTGGTAAATTTCCCTCTGATCCACAAGGGCTGCGACTGCCTGCGGTGGTGAAGACCTGGGGCAGACTTTGGCCAGACTGACCTCGGGACTCCAGAGAACCATAATGGCTTAACCATCAAATCTCCGAAAAATGGAGATTATGCTGGAGCCCTCACAATCAGTGAGGACGAGCCATTCAAGTATCAAGTAGCTAATAGAATTACAATCAATACAAGGTTACGTCAACTCAAAAAGTAGGTGAATGTCACAGTGGGATAATAGCAATAATGAAGAAATATTGGTACTTGAAGCATAGCCCGATAGAGAGTTCCTGGAGAGAGTCTGCGGTGTGGGAGCTGCCGGCGTAAGTCGCTCAGGTTCCGACCAACCAGCTCCATAATAAAGAAGTGGCCCATCGAACAAGTGCCCATCGCCGTGATCTCCGGAATGTTCTCCTGGAAAGCAAGACTCGAGCATCTCTGTTCCGACACAAATGAGTGGGCACATCTCTCTGTGATTCACTCCACTGCTTATCCCTTAGCATTTCCTGATGGGAAAATAAAACATTCCAACGGAATGAGAGACAGTGTGATGTAGCTAGTTCGAAATGTGCAAGGTACAAATGCAGTAATGATCCAACGGTCTATAGAGCTTATCACACTCAGGTTAAACGGCAAACGTAGAATATAAAAAATATATTGAAAAAAAACCTCTGTACCGTTGTGGTTGTATTTCACATCATACTCTGTCGTGAAAAATTATATTAGCCAGCAAAATAAAAGAGTAACATTGTGAGTTCGACTACAGCCTCAGCTTAACTGGGTACAATCCCGATTTGTGCTCCTCAGATCAATCCGTTGATGGGTGATTGCTGATGGGTGTGTTAAGTAGAAAACTAGCTAAGAGAAACGCAAAGTAAGGGTCTCAGTGGTGGAGTGTGTAATACGCGAGATCCCGGAAAGGGTAATTGTGGCACGATCTGGCCCTGGGTCCAAGTTTTGCCAATATCTGAGCATCCTGGGGATTTTATAAAAAATGTAGTTCAGTCCTAAGCAATATGATTTATTAAAGGAATCCATGAACAATGGATGCTTTGTTTTTTGACAGAAATGAGTAATGAGGACTAAGAAATCGATGACTTCAAAGCGGGATTAGTACGATCGAGACCAACATTCAAATACTGGTTTATTACACGGTGGTTTATTATGCCTATGAACTACACCGGTCTTCAACATACAAGATAACATTGAACAATTAAAGTTAACGATTGAAGCTCAACTATTCAGTTATGCCCCGTCGGCGAGCAACCGATGTCGAATTTTTGTCCACCTAAGCTAACGAATTTGACACGGTTAAGCGAATTTTTTTCTGTAAGCATGCAAAGAATGCGTATCGATTGCTGTTAGGCGGGAGCTCGCTGGTCGTGTGCAACACCGAGTTCGGGATTGTCTTCAGTGTAAAGTACCTTGCCACGCAACAGCATCAGCAACAGGATCTCTAGCTTCATGCGCTTTCGATCGCACTTCTCCGATTCGATTTTGACAGCCCATCGTGTGTAGGTATCCTCATGTATTGCCCTTAAATATAGATGCTTTTGGTAAAACCACAAAGTCTGACATACACCAGTGTTGGCCTAAATAGAACCTCTCAAAACGAATCATTCTCGCCGTATTGCGAAAATGTCACATCCGAGCGACTACAGTGAAGAGATATGACGATATTTCATCGATTTTCGCTTGAGCTGAGACGTTTCATTGAGAACCCACGACGCTTCAGCAACTAGTGAAAGCTCACGAGAAAACTTGGGCAAATCCTCCATCGGCTAGCAGGCCTTCCACTCTAAACTTGCCCAACAAAATTTGCCCGTCCTTCAGAAGGTGAGCCTTCTTTTGCTTTCCTAAACACCTTCATATATTTCAGTTTCAATGAACAATCGATGGAAACGAAATGCGGAAGTTTTTACAATTTCAAAACCTTTAGATTTAAGAAACCCACCTATTTGTGAACTTCCTTAATTCGTCTGAGTTAAATACGGAAGTAAAATAAAAGTAAAACATTTTGAAACTTATCCAGCGGCTAACCATCGTGTTGTCCCACTTTCTTCTCTTTTTCTTCCTTTTTCTCATGTTTACCTCCACCGTTTGTCTTCTCGCCGCCGGCTTTTCCTGGTACTTTCCCCTTGTTCCCTTTTTCCTCTGCTGGTTCCTTGCTCCTAGTTCTTTCGACCACTGCTTCTGCACTTCTTCTTTTTCTTTCCACTGTCTTTTTCGTATGGCTCTTTCGTTCCTCTGGAAAATGGCTTGCAACGGTTTTCTTTGTCTCGCCCTTCCCTGGCTCTATTTTCTCGAAGCACTTTACTTCTTTTTTCTCATTCTTTCCACCATTGTGCGTTGGGTTCCCGGCTGGCTTCAAATAACCTCTCTCCTCATTGTTCTTTCGGTTGTTTGTCTTGCGTGCAGTCATCCAAAAGCACAGTACTGAAAAAGTGCTCCGATCGGGTTTTGCTTGCTTCATGAGAACATCACCTACGAGTTACATTAATACGAACCAGAAACAAAACGAACATATGGTGTAGTGAAAGGAAAGTCCACACTCAACCAACGTTCGTTAGCAAGCAATGACAATGAAAGAGACCTAGCGATAAGTGCTTGATTGCACCAACAGTCGCTATTCTTGTTTTTCTAAGGGATAAATGATACTGCCCATCCGATTTTCACTATTCGTCCCGTTTGTCAACATGGCCAGATGTGGTGCGTTTTTGTGATTTCCAGGAAATTCTTCTCCAGACGACACACTCAAGTACAAGTCTTAACAACATAGGGAATTGAAAAGCATTCACTTGAAATTCATGTCATGCTTTGAAAGGGTGTAGTGCTGGTGTAGGATCGTAAAGAGCAACAGCTCGAAAAATCTAGATGTTCGATTACGCGTAGTTTTCCGAATGAGATAAAACCTCTGAAAATCATTGGAACCTAAAGTCGTGGGTGTAAAAACCGTTTTTCGCTACATTTCTGATTAGTCGACCACCGTTCAATGAATATTCAATGTTATTAACTTAGAACGTTTGTAATTCGTCTGTTCTTCCCTCACTACAATCTTTATATAGGGTGATATCTTTTTAAAGGGGGTCTTCGAAAATAGAATTAACTACTGCTTTCACTATGAACTAACTTAATACACTTGTTTTGATAGGCGAAGCAACAGTAAGACGTTACAAAACTGGATTTGTCCTGTGTTTGAATCGCTAGGCGATAATGAAGGTAAGACTAATGAATTTGACAACGACCTGGAAAAGCCCTACGGGAAGGACCGATTCATACAATGTCATTGTCATTTTTTCGCAGATAAGACTATTCCCAGAAGTAACGACAAGCATTGCTACATCAGGACCGACGGGACGGATTGAAACGAGCAGACTAGACTTACATATCACTCTCATGATCCCATATTTATAAAGGAAAAGAAATGGACTCTTTCCACAGCACTTCCGCAACGGATCACTAGCTGAATCTAAGGAAAATAATATTCCCAGAAAAAAGATTGGTTATTTATGTCTCATCATGGCGTCCAATGCAACACCCCTGGATATTCGGCTCTGTGCGCCTGGGTCGAGAACTAAGTGTGAAACATTCTTCTCAGAAATGAATGAGCATCAACAACGTATTAGGAGCCGACTTTTCGATAATGCTGTTCCAGTAATAGTAATACTTTCTCCGTAAGTTAGAGAGAGAATCCGGACTGTTGAAGCATATTGAGTGTTTCATAGCCTCAACAAAAACTATGCGATCACGCGCGTTCAACACTTTGCACTTTCGACCCCAATCCAACGTCTTATAGCTTTCATGTCTTTATAATTTTCATCAGTTCCACTTCACGAAGCACTAAACTTACTTCTGGACGTTTATGCCAAAATTTGTGCCAACTTGAATGCCCAGCAACTAGCTTCAGCCATGTTTGATACAATTGAAGCTTAGTAGCTATAGGATTACAGAGAGTTAAATCGTTAACTTCCACAATAGAACCAGATTGAGGGCAAATTGGCTCCAGCTATAATTTTGGGACTACTGCCAAGCCCGAAGCAAAATAGCAAAATTCCACATCAGTTTCTGGTTCTAATATTAAATACGAATCGTACGACGATAAATCACGAGATCATATACGCATGAATAAGGCGGCTCATAGAAATGTCATCTCACATATTTAGCACAATATAATTATGAAGGCTCCCTGGAACTGCTATATTGTAAGCTCTAGTTGAACATCCCTTGCTTAAATTACCGCTAATGTCCATGGTCAAAAAATTCAATGTGGAATCACGATGAAGCCAACTGGATGCAATCAAATGCTGCTCTCTCTGGAGTGGAGTGAAGGGCACACTACACCAATTTCAGAATGATTCAGTTACCAACTGAACCGTCACATATCCGGTCTACAAATAAAATGGACCACTGAGTTAAAGAAATGTAAATGTATATTTGTATATACATATTCTTATTCTACCTACCCAAGTTTGAGAGTTTCTAAATAAGAATGGGAGTAGTAGGGTTAGCGGATTAGTTAGTGGCAGTCCACAAAGAAATAAGATGGTGGTTCGACCTCCTCCTCAACGCCTTTGTACAATCCATGTGGGAACGCTTTAGCTCGACTATCTCCAAGATTATAAGAAAAATCAATTCGACCAGCATTCCACGAAGTCCACAAAAACGAAATCATCATGCTGCAGCTGAAACAGCAAGCAAAATGTAGAAATAACTTCGTGGACAATGAATGCGAGGAAAACGAATAGAATTCAACAAGCGCTGGAACTCCCACAGTAGATGTGATAACGGGAAAAAAACCATCACTCCTATTTTCCCTCTGCTGCATGTAATCCATTCAAATCTTCTCCAGAAACCATGGTGCACTGTTTTAAATGGACAATAACTCCACTAATTCTATTTCCCAAGTTTTTCCACGACTTCAACATTTTGCAAAGTTGCGGACACGCTTCTATATTTCATCTTCTTCTATGATGCACTCATGAACATCATTATATTCAATTTATTCATTGAAGAAACAAGTGAACACATGAAGGATCATTATAGAAACGAACAAGAAACTACCGACTCTCACTGCAGTGAGCAAGAGATTCAGAAACGGCGAGATGTCGCGACATGTCGCTTCCCTTAAATCAATCAGATGAGTGTGTAATTTTTTGGCGAAATAGAAGTCAGGCATTAAAGGACAGCTTTCAGCAGCAAAGTATTAAACGAAACATATCCCCACGTATCGCAATATTATCACGCTGTTCGGAAATGAATGCAGGATTTTTACTGCTTAGCATTCGTTTAAATGCTTTAGCAAAAAAAAAATTTTCTCGGATGACATAGTATTATTAGTCAGTACAAAGTTCATTTCATGCATTGCAGCACGTGTGTAGCGCAATGGTCAGAGGAGCCCTGCAACACATACGTGGAATCGATCCCCGTGCCTCTGGTCCCGATCCCTGTGGGATCGGCAAATTGGTACCAAACTTGTCTGGGAGGATAGCAGCACTGCCTCGATAGATCGGTAGGCCACCGCGAGTCATTGTAAAGGCCAGATATGCATTCAATCACCTCCAAACGACGCTTAGTAGAGTCAATTGCATGGCACATCCCTCAGGGATTGATCAATGCCTACAGCTTTATCCTTTTATCCTTTATAGCTGAATTACAATATAATTTGCACTTTTCACAAAGTTCACAGGTAAGAATGATAACTCAAAACAGCGACTTCGAGGAACCTGTTCCCACAAATTCAAACTCGGACGTACGCAGGGCAAACTATTGGAAATAATTAAGTATGGAAGCAAGGAAGTGTTAACGAATGCACAGTCTAATATCGGTCAGGAAAATTTCATCATACCGAGAATTCGATGTGATGAGATGAGGGAGATTACTGACATTCTTCCGCTATTGAAGACGATGAACTGAAGGCCTAAGTTGAAGCAAATGCTTGCAAGACTGTTCGAGAACTTGCAGAAGAAGTTGAAGTAAGCATATTAAGTGCTTTGTTGCCTTTGAAGAAAACTGGAAATTAGAAGAAGCCCGAGAAATGGATGCCGTAAGAAATGGCAACACTTCGCACTATTAACGCGCAACTAACTCTGTAAAGTTTGAATTAGTCGGGCTACGAAACTCTGTCGTAATCACCATTTCAGCCGTATCACTCGTCTCGTCAGCATCATTTCTTCAGGTATCTCGACAACTTCCTTTGCGGAAAGTTTATCAGAAAGCAAGCCGGAGCCTAAACTGTCTTCAACGACTTTACCGCCTCTGGAATCCCAGAGCTTTAAGCAGAATGAATAATTTAATATGTTTTTTGTAGAAAAAAATCTGTGGATTTTAATAATTTTCATTCCAAGTAATAAAGTTTGGTTTGAGCTAAGATATGCCACTTTAAATAATACAGGGTGAAATTCTGCAGTGATTCCCTGGAAACCTAATACATACTTTCACTTGATTTCTCGGAAAGCATCAAAACAATTAAGCTTACTTTCAATGTTTTATCCTCTTGTAATTTGACATAACCTGAGCCAAATTGCATTGCGTGCTTCGGCGCGTTGTGCGGAGCTCCCAGGTGAGCAAGAACCTGGAACAGTCATTTAGCAATGAGTCACTAAAATCGTTTGCACCTTCGAACTGGGAAAGGTAACGTCTCCAACCAAATATTAATGCATGTTTATGGTATAGTAGCGCAATCCATTTGCAGATTTATTCCTACGTACACATCTAAAAACTACATACATAGTAAAATGCAAGGGTGATTGTTTGAAACAAATGTTTCAATACTCGTCAATACCTACCTGTCTTACTATCAACTTCTCACCAACGCCTCGTGGCAACGCCAAGTCACACTTCGTTTGCATTGGCAACGTATTTACCCACGCCACAAAATTGTCGTCCAGAAACGGTGCCCTGAAAAGCCCAGTTGTAGTAAGTATGAAAACGGATCGAAATTTGGTAATTCAAGACCGCTCCACACTCGCAACGACACCTTTTCCGTGGCACTCGCGTTGGAGTACGGTTGATTTCTTACCGTGCGCGGCACGGATCAACTCGACGCACATCGAGCAAAGTACCCCAAAGGCAGAGAGGACAAGTTTGTTTCTTGTAGAAAATAGTAATGTATGTTGCTTTGCTTGTAAAATAAGCAAGGAATTCCCGCCGGACTCGTGTACTTGAATTTGCACAACAAGTACATGTTAGCACCTCTGTAACAGACTATGTGTTGCTTTGTGGTACAAAAGGCTAGGAATCACCGTGATACCCATGCTAGGAAACGAAATAAAGCTATTTCATGTAAAATTTCAAGTGTTAGAAATAGTTTCCCTGAACGACGCTGTTGGAACATGCGGCAAGGAAGCAAAGACTAGCAGCTTAATAGAAAGGCTTCTACAGAAAAGTTTGCAAAACAGAAGAACTGGAGAGAAAATCCATTAGAACTATTAAAATAGCACGTATAGTCCAATCGATCCTCTCCAGCGCATAAAACGAAAAATAGGAGTATCATAGGGAATATGTTGATGTTTCGAAATACGCTCAAAATAACAACTGCCTCAGCTTTTCGACTCCATTGAGAAGAATCTTCATTTTTTGTAACACATTCATGGAAAAAAGAAGTAACTAATTCAAAGTGAAGATAGTTGAAAAGAAAATTAAAGGACAAAAGATTAACAGGAAAAACCTGAGCTCCTTTTTTAACACTGTAGCCACTCTCGCATCTCGTCCACCGTTTCGACAGCCTAGACGTTGCAGTTCAGCTTCGCATTCCTGTGGGAAAAAAGTACTGTAGAATATGTGTGAGCTTTAAAAGAATGTGGAAAATTCTTGGAATTGAAGACATTTACTAGCTGTGTCATGTTTTCACAAGCGCCTGTAACACAGCTCATGTGGATATCATATGCAAGCTCGCATGCAGTCTTTGAGAAGCTAGATCATTGTTAAGAACACTACCTCCACGACGGAATCGACGCTACCGCACTCGAATCGCGTCCGATGGCGAGCGTAGCCAGCAAACAACTCATCCGCCCCACTGCCAACGAAATAAGTATCAGAATCGGATCTACAACAAATGTAACATATTTGACGTAACTTCTCCAAATGTCTTAAATACTTGCTAAAAACTTTGCTCTCGGTGAGACAGATTCCAAGAGCGACAGTATTTCAACAGGTACAATAATTACCATGTTTATATTTTCGCAACTGGAGGGACTAATGCCGCTATTCAATATCTCCCAGAAAAAACAAATAGGATGAAACAACACGAAAACTTAAGGAAAAGAGCACTAAAAGAACTCCACCGAGAATTTACTGGATACAAAAACAGCCGGAAAAAATTGGTAATAAGAATCACAACTGTTGTGATAACGGTAGATTTCGATACAGAAACCACACCGAGATTTACTAATAACGCTGAAATTTCAGAAACAAACGAAGAAATACTTAGGTGTAATGTACAGGTAGATCTAGGATAATATTTCAACAAGTGCAATCAAGCCAATGTCAAAGACAGATGAACAACGCAATTTCTTTTACTTACAAACTTATTTTGGTTGAGCGCTTTACTTTGGGACCAGCAGAACATCTGGTGAAAGAACTCTCACATCGAAAAAGCAGTTTAGAACTCGTAGTACAGCAAAGGATAAAAAGAACAAAGCTTTCGGCGTTGATCAATCCCTGAGGGATGCGCCATGCATTCGTTTATTAAGCATCGTTAGAGATGATTGAATGGATATATGGCTTGAACAATAACCTAATGATGCATCGAATCAGTGCTGCAATCCTTCCAGATAAGTCTGGTATTAATTTGCCAACCGAGTAGAGATGGAAGGCTGGTGAGCCAAGCGCGCTGGGTTCGATTATATGTGTATTGCAGGGCGCTTCTAACCACTGCATTACACGCTCGTAGTACAATACAAATGTGGAAATCGACTAAGTCTACGCAAAGAACGCACTTCGGAATAATGCAAGCTCATGAAAAACGCAAAGCTTTGAAAAATGTAGTAGCCTACTTCATTTCTTCACCGCTATCGAAATCATTTCCGATTCCCCGCAAGGCGTACCAAAGAACACATGCTAATGATTCATCCAATACCGATACAGCAGGTGCAGTAGCCTTAAAATAAAAAGGTCATAAGTCAAAAAAAGCTAAATACAGACCTCTACCTCGTGTAAGCTTATCAAAGAAAGAATAAATATTGATTAGTTATACCGAGGTGAAAGAAAAGTCGGTTTTGAAACATTGTTATGCGCTATGCTAGCTGATAATGACACCGACTTTTTTAGGATGGAGTATCCGCAAGAAACGAGTTGTTATCACAGGATAATCACCGCTATCGATAAGAACCGTCCTGTATAAAAGAGCGTCGATTTTTGGACCTTTGATCGTACACGCAGGTTAGAACTTCCCTTCACACCTGTGTGCTACGGAATACTCCTAGGTACAGACTACTCACAGAAAAAATGTAACATGGTGCAAGCCTTTTGATTAGAACTCATGTTACATTCTCTAAATTTTCCAACGCAATGGCATCCGTAACGAGTACTATAGGATTCATGAACGAGCAGCTAGCATGTTCAGCTTCGGGAACGAACGAGAACAACCACTACGACAAAATATCTCTTCACCTCTTACATGATGTACACCCAGCTAGAGAAGAAATCTGTGCAGAAGTGGAGAGGATTTGCCCTTCGCCTTTCTGAATGCAGAAATCACTTTGCTGGCACCTACTCTGACTTTGAAATTGGCAATTCCTAGTCCCGAAGAGTGCTTCTGGTGCAGTTACAAACAACTGCAGTTCAGTAGGCAGTAATAATTTCGAAATCAATATCAGAATATCAGTATTAAACGGTTAGCAGTGTTGCTCTTGTCTCTTTAAAATATTTTACCACTACTTTCGCACAGCTTTGCAAATTCAGACGTGACTACATGACTCCTAGGTCTCTTACAATTCTACGTTGCCGTATAAGTTTGTACGATTGTGGATATAGATCTCCTATTGACCGTTGAACCCTCAGCTTCTCTAGAACTAACGCAAAGAATTTTCGCTGCTTTCTCTTAAATTCTGTGGCTTTCCCTCCTTTTCTGCAACAAAAGGATTACACAAAGGAAGCGATGGTCAGATCTCGTCTAAATTTGAATGACAACAGCAATAGGCAAAACCTTCGATTTACTGTTGTGGTCCACTTCGTTATAATACTCTCCTATGCAAAACTCCAACGTTTAGATAAGCGCTTCTAGAAGAGTGCGTTACTATAAATGTCCGTGTCAATATAACAAACTGAGACCGCTCACCACATAGAGAATATCCTCTATTTTTACATATAGCGACAACAATGCTTGGATACTTACTTGGATACTTGGATGGCCCGCCCTCACTGGCTGTGAGGCCCCAGCCTCTACTTTTTCCGAGTTTTGATGGTCTAGCCATTGTGGTTCCCTGGAGTCCCAAGATCAGTCAGGTCAAAGTCGGCTCGAGATCATCAGCACCATGGGCAGTCGCCGCCCTTGTAGAATGGAGGGATATTTGCCACCATGCCACTAGTTTGATATCAGGATGGTTGTGGATCCTGGTAGTGGTACACTCTTACCTGGGCATCCTAATGGAAACGCCGGACTCCTTCTCAGCTTAAGAGACCCTACTAGGGAGATGAATCCCCCGTTGTATATCGCACTCTAACATCCAGGAACACCTTCCAACCACAATAAGGATAAACCGTTGGAAGGATCGGAGAGGACTTCCTTGGCGCAATAGGCATTGCGTTGGGCTGTTAACCGAAAGGTTTGTGGTTCAAGCCCACCAGGGAACGGAATCGTCAACATTATGAAAATTGTGTCCACATGAAACGTGTTACCCGAAAAATCCGTCCAGTTCGACGGATCACTATCACTACTGTAAAAACATCTCCAAATCCATAACGCTTCATCATCGTCCTTGTCGTAGCTCTATATAGACGACGAAGCTTGTTGAAGCATGTATTACTATACGTCCTTCCAACCATAAACGTCCGTTTCATCTCATTAGTTGATCAAAGGAACCTACTGATGTAGTTTGTCTCACATTTGCTGGCTCTGTCACCAAAGTCGCTTACGTTGTTTGGGTATTGTCGTATACAGTTACAAGATATGAAAAATTCCGTCGCAAATTTTTGTTTACAAAAATTTGTACAGAAAGAGTGAAAAATATTCTTCCATGTGAAAACTCCATTCAGAGGACCGTTACATTCCATTTGTTGAGCTTGGTGGGTATAATGATATAACATACACTTAAATGCCCAACAATGAACGTTAACCAATAAAATAGACTCCCACTCACTTCTTTGGAACTTGTATACGTGAATAGCACGAGTGCTCACCTTTGCGATGTATTTAGATCTGTTCTCTTCTAAATCCTCTTTGGTGACGTCGACCAGGATCAGACGCCATTTTCTGTCAGCATATTTTGTGCGCAAATAGCGAAGACCAGCAATGGCTCTAGGACGGTCTGCTGCGTTAGATCGCTGCTTAAAACCTCATTCCTTTATGAAGAGAACGAATCGTTTGTTGTGGAATAATATCGTTCAGATGGAATGCTGTTTCTATATTAATAACCAAGTGACTAAATAGCGTAAAACTACTAAAAATGCCTTATTTAAAAGAGTATTTCTTGTTTATTTGAATTATACTATAAATAATACATTTATTTGGTAAAAACGTAATAAAAACGTTCTTAACACATAACGCCCTACATGAATACACTAGGTTGTTGGGAAGTTAATACCCCATTTGTAATCTCACCTTTCTATTTTCTGTTGTAGCAATAGTTATTTTTAAATGCTGTCGTCAAAACAGTTATTTTGACAAAACCACTTGTAAGAGTTCATATCCGGTTATGGCTAGAAACATTGATGAGGTGTGGGGCCAAAAGTATCGATGAACGTACGTGCACCGCTAGCTTGGGAAATTTCGTAGTGGCCAAATCGATCTTGAAGATAGGGAAGATCATGGACGTTCTTCTGCTATTAATGACAATGAATTGAAGTGTTTAAAGGGAACAAACAAACAAACGTATATATATATATATATATGAATACTGTACAAGTTGCATGAAAGTCAAAGAAATTGTCGTCCCGAGGTATCGCCAGCGTTTCTTCTTCGTAACGAGGACGACTCGTTTCTAGAGCATACTGTGGCGTGAGACGAGAAATAACGTTTCCTTGATAATCGGCTTAGTGGTTGCACCGTGATGAAGCTTTGCAGCGCTTCCAAAATCCGAAATTGCACTGGAAGGTTAGATCGATCGTTTAATGGTTTAGTGCTGGATTGTTCCATCACTGCTTCTAAATCCGGATGAAAAGATTATGCTGAAGAAGGATGTTAAGAAAACTGAAAAAATGCATCAGAAACTTCAATGGCTGTCTCTCTTAGTCAACTGAAAGGCAATACTCCTCCACGGCAACATGCAGCTACACGTTGTACTAGCAATGCTGCAGAAGTTGAATAAGCTGGGCTACAGAACTCCACTTCATCCTGCTAAGTTCGCCTACCGATTACCGCATCTTTAAGCATCTCAATAACCTTCTGTAAGAGGAATGCTCGAGAAACCTAGCCGATGCTAAAATTCCTTTCAACGACTCCATCGCTTCGAAAGGTCCAAAATTTTAAATCACTGGTATAAATAAGCTTGATTCTCGTTGGCAAAAATGTGAAAATTTCAATGAGTTCCGATCAATTAAGTTTCTGTAAGCTAAGTTATGCGGATTTGAAAATGCAGGTTAAAATTGGACATTAATTTCCGAAGAACCTAATAGGACAATTGGGAAAAAATAATATCTGCTCCTTAAGCCAAATATTCCAGCTCATACCATTAGAATACGCAGATTTTTTCCTCCAAGATACAAGTTCTCTTTATGTACAAAACCGAAATTATGATATTCTGGTGCTCGTGAAATTTTTGCCTTTTCACTATTTTAAGGCTTGTATTTCGGGCTCGAAAGCAGTTGAACGAGCGGAATTTCCTCCAGCAGGACATCGTAATGTCCCCAATGTGTTGCTTATGTTTTCCCTTGTAGGTTAAAATTTCTAAAAATCTAGATTTCCTTCACGTTTCATGTAGAGTTTCACTTCTAACAATACCTAAAATAGAGAGAACATTATAAAAAAAAATTCGATTGTGGTGACAAAGCAAAATTTCTATAAATCCGTAAATTCCACAACACTTCGAGTGCTGCAGTGATCAAGAAATTATCGTTAGAACCAAAAACATGAGCTTAGGGCGCCATTTGTCAAACAATTCCGGGCTGCAGCTATCGCTTATTCTAGGAAAACAGTGACATTAAGCCGGTAGATGCTACGCCTAAAGAACATTTTGGTGTGTTGAATACTTAAGACGAAGTTAATTTTTTGACCACAAACAATAATTTCTGCCCTAAGACATGGGCGATAATGCCTAATTTTGTGTAGTGAGTACAGAAGTCGACGGATAATTTTTAGCCACCACCATA